ATGCAAGTGATACGTGAAACAGACAGGCACCTGGATGTGTAACATTCAGTGTTTCACCCCCTCCCCCCCCCAGGCAGGGGGCTTCTCAAACCCCCTTCGAGAAGCCCCCCCTTCTCAAGCCCCCTCTCGCCGAACTATGATGGAGCATGCCCCGCTGCATAAAGCCAAACCGCAAACAAATTCCAAGCGAAATCGTGTTCCGAAGTCACCTCATTATCGAACGAAAGAACTGTTGTGTCGTTTTTTGTCCATCGTTTCTCCTTCTTGTGCGCTTGTGCTTTACGAAGCGGGGCAATGTCCTCGCCATTGCGCGACCCTGAAATCTGGAAGCAGGCATCTGAGAGAGGCCGATGTGATGTGAGACAGGTAATTCCTTGCTGAACAACTCTTGCCGGCTAAGTCTGTTGGTCGCAGCTNNGTTTCACCGTTTATTAGTTGCTTCTTAGTTCATTGTTTCTCATTGTAGATTTCGTGAGGACCGAGTGCGGCAACCGCCATCAACGAGGCCTGCTCACGCCAAAAAAATTCTTGTGCGCTTGTGCATTGGAAGAGATGTTTCAGAATTTTAAGATTTTTTGTTTTCAACACCAGCGAGCTTCGTTTTTTGCGAACCCACCGGGCGAATTTCGGTTCATTCTGTTTGGCTTCTTTTCTTCGCCTCTGACCCGTGTGGTCCACTTCTTGTGCGTTGGATCCACCCAGGATGCTCCGCACGGTCGGAAGTTGAAACTTGCAAAGGACCTTAGAGACTTGGAGGGTCTCAAGGAGGCTTCAAGGGGGGCTTGAGAAGGGAGCGCAAAATTCTTAAAGGCAGCTTCAAGCCTGTACTCAAATCCCCCTTGAAGCTTCAAGCCCTCTTGAAAGGTGAAACTTGATTGATTTTTTTCTCAAACCGCAGGACGAAGTTGAGCTGGCACCGGTCGTTGCTGGAGAGCCCACGTCGAGTCGCCTGACTAGGGTGACACACTGCCTGACGCCACGTCTGTAAATATCCCCTTGCCGCTGTCTCCGGCGAGGCCTCCACAGGATTCACCACACGAGGTAACGGAAGTTTGCTGTGCCCGCGCTTGCACGGCAGATGCCCAAACTGTCGCGCTGCCATGCTCGACCACCTATCCCGCGAACCCATCTTACGGTCCCGGTGCGAAGCGCTTGGCATCAACCCTGTGGCCCAGCCACCAGACAGCTTGTACAATAGTTCGGAACTACGCGACCCGGACTTTCTCCAGTGCCGATGCGACCGACCGGACCGTTGCGTGCTGTTTGTTGCCACCGCCTCTCGGCTTCCGGTGCCCCACCGCAACGACCGGACGCGTGCTCACTGCTGCCCTGCCAAGGACGGTAATTATGCGGACTCCAAAGCTTGAGTCCGCGCTGGGACAAAGGTCGAAGTTCGAGCCGCGAAGGCGACTGCTTTCGTCCACCTAGGGGAGCTGTCAGCCGCAGCACGGGCCCTCGTCTTCCAACCGCTCGCGCCGGATTCCTCCGACACGCTGCAAGAAGTCCGTGACCCCGCGAGCCGGCCCCAAGCTCCTTTTGCACTTCCCGATCCCCAAATCCTCGCCTTCAGGTAAGGAGAACAGTGTGCGCTCCCCTTGTATCCGTTCCTGGCATTCCTGCGAACCGCCCGACGAGGATCGGCTGCTGGACCGGCATCACCAACGAACACTTGCGTACAGTATATTGCTGGACGACGAAACCGACTGCACGCTCTTGCACCGCGTTGCCGAGTGGCTTGCGCGTACTGAGGTCCAAGCACCGGTCGTCGCGGCTCGGATAGAGCCCCGCGCAAGCCCAACGTTGGCGACGTGCTACGGCGGCTGATCCGGCGCACCGTCGCGCAAGAAGATGCGTATGACTTGCAAGCCGCCTCACGGAAGCGCCTTTTTTGGTTTTTTTCCGCGTTGCCACTCAAATGGACCCGCGTGCAACCGTGCTGTCCATCGATGCCATCGGAGCGTTTGAGCATGTGTTTCGCCACGCAATGCGTGCTGGCCTCAGGCAGAGACCCAGCTTGCAGCCGCTGCTGCCATACGTGCACAAATTCTGTGCCTCCGACATGTGGCAGGACGCCAACGGGCAGTTTCATGAGGTTCGGCAATCTGAAGGCTATCTACGCCATCGCTCAACACCCAGCCCTCGCAGCGGCTCACGCGCATTTGCGTGAGAGAGAAAAAGGCCGTTTTTGTATTTCGACGATATTTATGTCGTCGCAGTTCCCAAACGACGCCTGCCAACGGGCACCCCGCGAGCATGCGTGCGTCGAGCTCAACCGTGGCAAAACCCGCATTTGGAACGCAGCGGGAGAGAGGAGGACGCACACATCTCCGATTTTTTTTTCTTCGCGCCTTCTACCGACTGCAGACAGTGGATCCCAGTCCTACCACCTACGGTTGCGGCGCAGCGCCGGAGGATGCGCGCGGCCGGCTAGCGAGGGGGCAAGCGGCTGGCGAGGACACCCTCCTGCCACCGAGCATCAGCCAGG